AGGGTGAAATCGATCCAAATTTGATGATTTTCAGAATTTTTCGCGCAGTGTGTAAACTACTGATATATATATTTTTCTAAGTCTTATTTATTTACGCATATCTTGATTAGGATAAAAGTGCTTGCCGTTCGGACGTCTATATCTTATAGCTTCCATAGGAAAAATTGTTAAAGGCTGCGAAAGTATCCCTTTTGTTCTATTTTTATATGACATTTTTGCAGTATAAAACCAATTGAAATCAAACGATGCAAATCTAGTTTATTTATGAATACCTTATTCCTTTCGCTACTTTTTCAGTTTTAGAAATTTTGGCAAAGTCTGCAAGGGTATTAAAACTTCGGCTTGCTGAAGCTAGCTTCCGTCCTCGTTTTGTACTGATTTTCTTCCAGAATCGGACGGACTAGCTAAATAAATAAAGTTTTAGTGACATTAGGATTCTTTTGATCTAAGTAAATAAATCCGTATTGACACGGATAAATAATTGATCCACAAAGGTGTTGTAAATGATGAGTAATGATTTTTTTAAAAAGCTTGTGAATAGCTGACAACTTAGATATAGCTCTGTAGTAACTGGCCTCTAACTTGTTACCTATTTTGTAAGAAGGAATAACAAATGATTATTTTTAAATATTTGGAATTTGGGAAGATTCTAGAGATATGGTAAACAATTTGTGAAGAGGTTTTGCACAGGGCCCTAGCGCAGCACCTAAGCACTCACCCAGGAATACCATTGGGCTTAATCCGAAGAAGATCCAAAAGACGAGAGCGGAACCGGTGCCGGTTATCGCATAGGATTTCGGATTTATTTTTTATTTTCTCGCAGATGCGCTTATCAGTGGTCCCTGGAAATCTTACGGGAACATTTTTTTCTCGTTGGTAATCGCTTGGGAGAAATTATTATCTTGTTTATTGTTTGAATTGCTAAGACTTTATTTTAAACGAGGACGGAAGCTAACTTCGGCAAGCCGAAGTTTTAATACCCTTGCAGACTTTGACGAAATTGCTAAAAGTGAAAAAGTAGCGAAAGGAATAAGGTATACGAGGTGTGTTCAAAAAGTAAGGTGACTTTTCAAATTTCGCGGGCAACATATTTTCGATTATCGATTTTTTTGTTTTGTTATATTGGTACACTCTTCCCTAACATCTGTACCAAGTTTCAATGGAACATCCTCTTTTGTTTGGTTGTGAGAGGCGTAAAGTTACAAGTTATTTTGCGAGCTCGGCGATTTTTTGCTTTTTTCGGTCTTGGCTCGCCTGGGCTCTTCCATTGGGACGATTGGGCTTTGGTTTCGATATCATAACCATATACCCATGATTCGTCACCAGTTATGACCCTTTTGAGTAAATCTGGGTCGTCGTTGACGTCATTCAACAGCTCTTGAGCGATGCTCATGCGACGGTTCTTTCGGTCAAAATTCAGCAATTTCGGAACAAACTTCGCTGACACACGACTCATACCCAAAACGTTTGAAAAAATTTCATGGCACGAGCCAAGCGATATACCGACATCTTCAGCAACTTCTCTGATAGTGATTCGACGATTTTCCAAAACAATTTTCGTCACTGCTTGAACGTTTTCATCAGTTGTTGACGTGCTTTGGCGTCCAGAGCGAGGCTGGTCATTGGCATCTTCCCGGCCATCTTGGAAGAGTTTGTACCACTTGTACACATTTTTTTTACTCAGAACAGTTTCACCGTATGCCACTGTCAACATTTCAAGTGTTTCAGAGCACTTAATTTTATTTTTTACACAAAATTTGATGCAAATCCTTTGATCCATATTTTTCGATAGCAAAAAATCGCCGAGCTCGCAAAATAACTTGTAACTTTACGCCTCTCACAACCAAACAAAAGAGGATGTTCCATTGAAACTTGGTACAGATGTTAGGGAAGAGTGTACCAATATAACAAAACAAAAAAATCGATAATCGAAAATATGTTGCCCGCGAAATTTGAAAAGTCACCTTACTTTTTGAACACACCTTCTACATAAGTAAACTAGATTTGCATCGTTTCAAGTCAATTGCTTTTATACTGCAAAAATGTCAAATACAAATAGAAAAAAAGGGATACTTTCGCAGCCTTTAACAATTTTTCCTATCTCCTTTAAGATATAGACTTCCGAGCGGCAAGCGCTTTTACCCTAATCAAGATATGCGTAAATAAATAAGAATTGGAAAATTTTATGTTAGTAGCTTACACACTGCGCGAAATATTCTGATAATCATCAAATTTGGACCGATTTCACCCTATTGTTCCTATGGGAGCTATAGGATATAGACGTCCGATCGGCACGCGCTTTCACCTTGATCAATGTATGCAAAAAAAATAAGATTTGGAAAGATTCATGTCAATAGCTTGTATACTGCGTGAAATATCTTAAAAATCATTAAATTTTAACCGATTTTACCCTTTTGTTCCTATGGGAGCTATAGGATATAGACGTCCGATCGTCACGCGCTTTTACTCTGATCAAGGTACGCATAAAAAATAAGATTTGGAAAGATTTATGTCAATAGCTTTTACACTGCGCGAAATATCTTCCATTCTTGCAAGTTATATCCGATTGTTCCTATGGGAGCTATAGGATATAGACATCCGATCGGGGCGGTTTTCAAACTTGATCTGCATACACTTGTTTTAGGACGAGTGTGAAAGTTTCAGATCGCTAGCTTTTAAACTGAGCTCGCAAACGGTATTGAAACAGACGGACAGACGGACAGACGGACAGACGGACGGACGGACAGACGGACAGACGGACATGGCTATATCGACTCCCCTATTGATCCTGATCAAGAATATATATACTTTATAGGGTCGGAAACGTCTCCTTCACTGCGTTACAAACTTCTGACCAAAATTATAATACCCTCTGCAAGGGTATAAAAATCAAGCTAGGCTTGTGATTTTTGCGCTGTAGCCCATGCGAAAAGTTATATTCGTAAATAAAAGCGCCCCACGGCCCATAATTCAATCTTTATTCAGTCAGGTTTTCCAGCTTTTTGTTGTTGTTTCCTTATGCAAATTATATTTTTAAGTGTGCGCGGCGCGGGAGGGGTAGCTCGGCTGCACACGCCGTCGCAATGGAGTAGAAAATGAGGGGGAACAATGCTGCCCCGCTGCTGAATTGCTGACCACTGGCTTATGGCTGCGGGAGGGGCGACTTTGGCTGATTGCGCTATGTCACCAGGCTGTGGAGAGGAGGTTGGAGAACCGTTACAAGACTGCCCCACACATATATGGTTGCTGCTCAGATTATTGATGGTTGGCGGCGGGAGGAGCAGCCGCACGAGTTAACCAAACTGTATTGAAAAGATTCCTCCTGATGCAGCTACGTAGTTGAGTGTTACAACGATTAATAGACAGCCTCCAGTATTTATTGCCTCTTCTGCTGGAGTGTCTAATCGACGGTATTCCAATTGGTGTTGGTGGCCAGTTGGGCGGTGATCCCCAAATGTTGATTTAGGTAGTTTAGGATGGGAGGGTGACTACTCTCCTTAATCTGCTGGCCTAGAGACAGTTTGCAGTGATAAAAAGTTAACGGCGGTTTGCCGGAGTTAAATCAAATGGAGCGCAAGCTCTTTGTTCAGCGAATGTCAAATGAGAACTAAACATGAATTCTTGACTTAAAGCTAACAGAAATTGGGGACTCATAGCGTCCACGCATAAGTGCTGTGTTTGCCGGCTATGCACGAGCATCCGGCCAAAGGCTGTATCAGCGATTTGGCCGGTGCATGGCCTTCGGACAGTCGGTCATTCACGCTGTTCGGTTGATTTTAGTTAACTTGCACATTATCCATAGAGCCTCCAATGCAGTCAAGATGTAGTTAAAGCATAAACCTTCTGGATTAATATATCTTTATTAAATGTCGTTTGTTCTTAAACATTATGGATTATTACTAAAGAACTCGCTGCGGGGCCGACAGCAAAGCGGGCAGCAGAGCGGTCAGCGCTTATGTATGTATAGATATTACTAACCCTGCAGTTCCGTTCATCACCATTTAATCGATGAATCATCACCAAAAATGCATTACTACTGATGATTAACTGATAAAATTTCAAACAAAATAGCGATGAATTTAACATTGGCATGTCCTAGGAGTTAATCAGTGAAAAATTCATGACATTTTAATCAGTAATTTCACTTATTTAATCAGTAATTCATCACTTTTTAATCAGTAATTCATCACTCTTTAATCAGCATTTACTGATAAAAATGCAATAAATTACTGATTAAAGAGTGAGTTATCAGTATTTCACCACATTTTCATCAGTAATTCATCTAATTTTCATCGCATGTTGACAGCAAAAGTTATGCGCTTTTTTACATTTATTTTTGAAAGCAGCGGCTTCTTACGTGCAACTTTTGAAGAATATTTGTTCCGCAGAATTAGTTGGTGTACGATTTCATGTGAAACGACCGTGCCACACTCTTCTTCCAAATCCTTAGCAAGGTTTCTGGTCGAAATTTGGGGGTTTTGACGGACCTTACGCATGATATGGCGGTCTGCTCGCTCATCAATTTATTTTTTTATTTTAATACCTACCCATAAAAAATGTTTTATATAATAATTCTGCATTAAAAAAATATCGTTCCCTCTGTTAGTGAAATTGTTGGTTTTCTCGTCGTAGGTCTGACATCTTGGTATAATTTAGGCGTTTGATAATCCTCGTGCTGTATTGCAGTATATGGCTTTGGTTCTTCATCTAGTTCAAACACTTGCGCCGTCTATCCTTCGTCTGTAACACATTGTTTTGGCGACCTCGTCAATTTTCGACTCTTCTGGAATGCAAATTTCTCTTCTTCTAGTATTTAATTATCGTTCTGCGCCCACGAATGACACCCATGTAAAATACATTCAATATATATATACTAACTACAATATAATGACGACTTTTGTAAAGTTTTAAAATAATAGTTTTAAAACTGAGAGACTATTTTGCGTGATTCCTGGTTTTAAAAACAACCGTTTTATAAATTATTTACTTTTCCATTATAGGTGGCAACAGCATTAAGAGAAATGAGACGCGTAGATGAAGAAATGAAAAAGCGTGATAAAATGTTTGAGCAACTTGCCAATGTCCAGACAAATGCTCTAGCAGATTGTGAGAGGTAAGTATAATTTTTAAGTGTAAACAGTTAAATTATTAAAAGAAGATACATTTAAAAGCTGCAAGAGAAAATGAATGTGTAAGCAAATACTACTGAAAAATTTGGAGTATTAAACTTTCTTTTCCGATTTATGATCCTTCGATCATCCATAGTGCAAGTTTCTTATCCGGGGTATAAAATATCTTGAAACTCATTTAAAGGAGAGATTTAGCACTTTGAATTTTGTGCTTCGTTAAAGCAATCGTTACTTTTAGGTATTTATAGACCTTTTTAGCTCCAGAATATTGTGATTTACATATAGGTGCAAATGTCACTTCTGAAGGGAATTTGTGTCTGCATAAATGCATATAAATATGGTGCCGTCCGAACAGGTTCAGGAGGATCTAAAAGGTTTCGCTGTGAAACACCAGCATAAGTAACTTTGCTTAAGGAAGGACAGTGTAACGGCGCCTAAAGAAACGTTTATATGTTTTCACTCTAATTGTGCTGGAAGCCAAACGTTGCTGCCTACCCGGAATCAGGGGCCTGCTCTATTTCATGGTTGACCGTAGACGTTCTAAAATCTACAGATTCTGTCCAGCAAGCAGCAAATAAATGATACCCCAGCTTAAGCAGCGGCATATAACCTCAAAAACTCACAGAAAAAGAAAATTATAATTGTTATTAATAATCATATTTTCTTAAAAGCCATATTCCTACTATAATTAAGTTTTAGTTAAACTTGCCATTATAATAAATATTTCTTAATTATTTCTACTTTTAAAATATATTATTTTGTATTACTTCATAATCATAAACATGCTTACCCCTACCCACGTTTGTTAATATATGTTATTTTCTGTGAATTTCCTGAATTAAATAATGTAATTTTATATTTACCAACTCAGCTGATGACTCGTCGGTCGTAGGTCATTAGGAGGGATCTCCAGAGTTTTGCGTTAGCGGCAAAATATCATAGGAAGCGTGGGCATAGTGCGAGCCTAATTAAATCACAGGCTACGCACATATTAAATTTCTCTTATTCTTTCTTCTTCCCTTTTTCCCTTCTTTAATCTCTTTACACTCTTCTCTGACTTCTCTTTTCTATTTTTCTAAAATGTACGAATTGTTTCTTGCGGTCTTGTTAACTAGCTGTCGCAGGCATCTGCAAGATCAAGATCTTTAGCTCCGAAGTTTTGGAGTAACTTTGCCCACTGAGGGTGGATCAAATGTCTTACTTCCTATTGACAACATGATTTTATTGACAGCCTGCTTTTATATCTTTATCTCAAGTAAACCAAGTTCGAAATTCACTAGGTAGCCTACTTCATTTGTGTGTTTGTATCAAATCCTGAAGTTGTGTTTCTGTCCAGAGTAGCACCACTCACGTAACCTGAAGATCCATATTACCCTACAATCGAACTAACAATTGACATGGGTACAGTTATAGAAGAAAAATCAACGAATACATTGTTTTCGCAAGGCAGACTTTCTGAGGGTAATTAATTTTATTTCTGGCTTTAATTGGTCTGATCTTTACTTATTATTATGTTCGATGTAGCTAATGTTTTTTACACTACAATAAACTCATTTTTTAATTCCTGTATTCCGTGTTACTTAAACCGTTGTTTTACCACCCAAAACAGTTTTATAACTTCGTTAGCATCAAGAGTAAATCTAACTACAGATCAGGTAATAGCCGATATTGTTGGCCAATTTTTTTAAACGACTTACTTTACTTTATATAATTTATCACAGCCTTATTTTTATACTTTATCCAATGGTATTCCTAAGTGCATGTTTAGGTATTGCACTAAGGCCCTGTGCAAACCTCTTCACAAGTTGTTTACCTTATCTCTAGAAGCTTCATAAATTCCAAATATTTGGATGGAATCATTTGTTATTCCTTTTTACAAAGTAGGTAACAAGTTAGAGTTACTACAGAGGTATATCTAAGTTGTCAGCTATTCATAAGACTTTTGAAAAAATCATTACTCCTCATTTGCAGCACCTTTGTAGATCAATTATTTCTCCGTGTCAACACGGATTTATTAACTTAGATCAAAAGAATTCAATGATCCTTATGTCACTAAAACTTTATTTATTTTGCTAGTCTGTCCGATTCTGGAAAAAAATCAGTACAAACGAGGACGGAAGCTAACTTCGGCAAGCCGAAGTTTTAATACCCTTGCAGACTTTGACGAAATTGCTAAAAGTGAAAAAGTAGCGAAAGGAATAAGGTATACGAGGTGTGTTCAAAAAGTAAGGTGACTTTTCAAATTTCGCGGGCAACATATTTTCGATTATCGATTTTTTTGTTTTGTTATATTGGTACACTCTTCCCTAACATCTGTACCAAGTTTCAATGGAACATCCTCTTTTGTTTGGTTGTGAGAGGCGTAAAGTTACAAGTTATTTTGCGAGCTCGGCGATTTTTTGCTTTTTTCGGTCTTGGCTCGCCTGGGCTCTTCCATTGGGACGATTGGGCTTTGGTTTCGATATCATAACCATATACCCATGATTCGTCACCAGTTATGACCCTTTTGAGTAAATCTGGGTCGTCGTTGACGTCATTCAACAGCTCTTGAGCGATGCTCATGCGACGGTTCTTTCGGTCAAAATTCAGCAATTTCGGAACAAACTTCGCTGACACACGACTCATACCCAAAACGTTTGAAAAAATTTCATGGCACGAGCCAAGCGATATACCGACATCTTCAGCAACTTCTCTGATAGTGATTCGACGATTTTCCAAAACAATTTTCGTCACTGCTTGAACGTTTTCATCAGTTGTTGACGTGCTTTGGCGTCCAGAGCGAGGCTGGTCATTGGCATCTTCCCGGCCATCTTGGAAGAGTTTGTACCACTTGTACACATTTTTATACCCTTGCAGAGGGTATTATAATTTTGGTCAGAAGTTTGTAACGCAGTGAAGGAGACGTTTCCGATATATATTCTTGATCAGGATCAATAGGGGAGTCGATATAGCCATGTCCGTCTGTCCGTCTGTCCGTCTGTCCGTCTGTTTCAATACCGTTTGCGAGCTCAGTTTAATAGCTAGCGATCTGAAACTTTCACAATCGTCCTAAAACATGTGTACGCAGATCAAGTTTGAAAATCGCCCCGATCGGACGTCTATATCCTATAGCTCCCATAGGAACAATTGGATATATCTTGCAAGAATTTATGATATTTCGCGCAGTGTAAAAGCTATTGACATTAATCTTTACAAATCATATTTTTTTATGCATACCTTGATAAAAGCGCGTGACGATCGGACGTCTATATCCTATAGCTCCCATAGGAACAATAGGGTAAAATCGGTTAAAATTTAATGATTTTTAGGATATTTCGCGCAGTGTAAAAGCTATTGACATAAATCTTTCCAAATCTTATTTTTTTATGCGTACCTTGATCAGGGTAAAAGCGCGTGACGATCGGACGTCTATATCCTATAGCTCCCATAGGAACAATAGGGTAAAATCGGTCCAAATTTGATGTTTTTCAGAATATTTCGCGATGTGTAAAAGCTATTGCTGTAATTTTTTTCAAATCGTATTTTTTTATGCATTCCTTCATCAAGGTAAAAGCGCGTGCTGATCGGACGTCTATATCCTATAGCTCCCATAGGAACAATAGGGTGAAATCGTTCCAAATTTGATGATTATCAGAATATTTCGCGCAGTGTGTAAGCTACTAACATAAAATTTTCCAATTCTTATTTATTTACGCATATCTTGATTAATGTAAAAGCGCTTGCCGCTCGGAAGTCTATATCTTAAAGGAGATAGGAAAAATTGTTAAAGGCTGCGAAAGTATCCCTTTTGTATATGACATTTTTGCAGTATAAAAGCAATTGACTTGAAACGATGCAAATCTAGTTTACTTATGTATACCTTATTCCTTTCGCTACTTTTTCACTTTTAGCAATTTCGTCAAAGTCTGCAAGGGTATTAAAACTTCGGCTTGCCGAAGTTAGCTTCCGTCCTCGTTTTTACTCAGAACAGTTTCACCGTATGCCACTGTCAACATTTCAAGTGTTTCAGAGCACTTAATTTTATTTTTTACACAAAATTTGATGCAAATCCTTTGATCCATATTTTTCGATAGCAAAAAATCGCCGAGCTCGCAAAATAACTTGTAACTTTACGCCTCTCACAACCAAACAAAAGAGGATGTTCCATTGAAACTTGGTACAGATGTTAGGGAAGAGTGTACCAATATAACAAAACAAAAAAATCGATAATCGAAAATATGTTGCCCGCGAAATTTGAAAAGTCACCTTACTTTTTGAACACACCTCGTACATAAGTAAACTAGATTTGCATCGTTTCAAGTCAATTGCTTTTATACTGCAAAAATGTCAAATACAAATAGAAAAAAAGGGATACTTTCGCAGCCTTTAACAATTTTTCCTATCTCCTTTAAGATATAGACTTCCGAGCGGCAAGCGCTTTTACCCTAATCAAGATATGCGTAAATAAATAAGAATTGGAAAATTTTATGTTAGTAGCTTACACACTGCGCGAAATATTCTGATAATCATCAAATTTGGACCGATTTCACCCTATTGTTCCTATGGGAGCTATAGGATATAGACGTCCGATCGGCACGCGCTTTCACCTTGATCAATGTATGCAAAAAAAATAAGATTTGGAAAGATTCATGTCAATAGCTTGTATACTGCGTGAAATATCTTAAAAATCATTAAATTTTAACCGATTTTACCCTTTTGTTCCTATGGGAGCTATAGGATATAGACGTCCGATCGTCACGCGCTTTTACTCTGATCAAGGTACGCATAAAAAAATAAGATTTGGAAAGATTTATGTCAATAGCTTTTACACTGCGCGAAATATCTTCCATTCTTGCAAGTTATATCCGATTGTTCCTATGGGAGCTATAGGATATAGACATCCGATCGGGGCGGTTTTCAAACTTGATCTGCATACACTTGTTTTAGGACGAGTGTGAAAGTTTCAGATCGCTAGCTTTTAAACTGAGCTCGCAAACGGTATTGA